AAGCTGATATTTTAAGACTTACAAGGTATGAGGCATTTCCACTTTAAGCTTTTGAATTGGCGCTCGAGGATAGAGAGCTGCGCCGGTCTTGACGGGATTAAAGTATGAAAGAAATCGCGAGCGGCGAATATTTTCATGTTCGTTGCTGCTACAGGTCGTGGAGCAATGCCATCTTGATGAAATTTACAAACCTTCAATGATTGTTCTTGACTTCATGACTAAGGAGGAAGTTGCGGATACGTTTATGGAAGCCAGGTGGGGCGTTTGTGGTCAGCAAAATAATTTTCTGATAGGTTGCCGCAATTTCTGTTGTTTCGCAAAAGTTGTAGCGGAGAAGCTGCGAGACATCTCATATCCAACTGTAACTTGTTTTTTTTTCCTTTGTTAGTGATTCCAGTCGTGTATATGTTGCAAATTCATTCATGTAGGGCTTACATGGAAAAGCCACGTATAACAAAAGTTGTTGGCTCTTTATGGTACTTTATAACGTTATCACTGTTTTTAGCATCAAATTAAGTCATCGGTTCTAAAGTGTTTTTATGGACTGAGTTAAATTTACAGCAGAGGATGTAACAGTGGTAATTTTAGAAATTTGTATCAGGCAAGTACGCATACGATATGTCTGTGATAAAATTTCGAAGAAACTTTCTTTCCTGTCACCTCCAAAAAATCTTCGTAGAAACGTTTATGATCAAAAAATTCTCAAAATTCGAAAAAGTAGAGCTCAAAATGCAACGAATTGTCAATAAAAGTAACACTAGTTATAGAAGTAGCGGAATCCTAATATTACAGGTGAATTAATTGCCGGAAAGCTTTATATTCATTCTTAGAATGATAGTTCTTTTTTTCAGAGGATTAAGATAGTAACAAATTGATTGGGTTTGATTCCAAAAAATTTTTTTATGCATTCATCAAAGTTTAAGGATCATTTTTTGAAACTTCACTGAATAATGCATACGTTTTTTCACTTCATACATCTCGTTTAGTGAAATTTAAGAATTTTTGATGAACGAAGTCGGCTCATTAAGCTTGTTGCCGGATGCTGTTTGAAATTTACAAGCTTATGCTGTCTTCTTCCTTCACACTACTCACTGAATTCACTGCGGATTGGAACTGCTGGTTTAGTCCTTGAAATGCCAAATATCTTTGTTTTTAACTGCACGTTGTATTTCGCTTAAAGCTGTGTTCTTCTTCATTTACGTCTCGTTTTGCGGTATTTTAGTGGTCACTAGAAGTACTTTTTTACGTCTCCAAGTTACTTGATTTTGGAATTTTTTTTGTAGACCATATGCAGTCGTCACTGTTTCTGCGGTCTCTTGCGCTACGTGCAGCGGTTCCTAAAAGATGGTCAAGTAAGACTATGCCTTACTATGTGGTAGTTTTTATGACCAGAATTTTTGTTCTTGAACGATTTTTCCGAAGTGGCAGTTTTAGCATTCTGGAAAAAAAGTTTGTTTTAGGCTCCGGTTTGATGGTCCATCGGGACACGCCTGAAAATAGCATGAAGATGCGGTTTAAGTTTACACCAGAGAACATGAAAAAAGTGAATAGAATTATTAACAATTATCCAGAAGGTTACAAGGTCTGGTCACAAAAGCTTTTAAAATGTTTGGGCTTTTGTCTTTGAAAGCTTAATTTTTGTTCGAAATTTTTTTATTTAATGTTGAAGAGACTTGTTTATTAGATATAGGTTCCGGATAATTTTGAGTAAACATTGCGGAAGGTACCAGCAATTTCCATATGAAGTTATTTTGAAGAATTTTTCAGGTGGCTGCGTTGATACCTGTTTTGGATATCGCTCAGCGTCAACACGGCTGGCTGCCTATCGCGGCAATGCATGAAGTTGCTAGAATTTTAGGTTCGTAGACATTTGCAAGTTGTTTTTTTTATGCTTAACATTCAGATTCACTAACCTGGAAATTGAGAAACATGGTACCCACATTTCGGCTTTTTGTTTGAGCTTGGATTTTTAGTTCGACGCCTTAAATTTTTTTCGTAGATAAATCTGGCTGGAATTCCAGAAGTTCCTCGCATGCGAGTTTATGAAGTCGCCACTTTTTACACAATGTTTAATCGCCAACCAGTAGGGAAATATTTCTTACAAGTCTGCGCTACAACTCCATGTATGCTTCGTGGAGCTGAAACGATTACTGAAACAATAACAAAAAAATTAGGTAACTTCTTTTTGCTTTATAATATCACTAGTTTTGCTCAGAATGACTGTAGGGTGTTTCAGGGATTAAGCCAGGAGAAACAACTAAGGATGGCCTGTTTACTTTGGCAGAAGTAGAATGTCTTGGAGCTTGTGCTAATGCTCCAATGATCCAGGTTTTCCCTCCAGTTAATTGTTATGTTTTAATGTTAGCAGTAATATAAATGAGTCCGTTTTCTCTACTTCTTCAGCGACCTGACAGAGCTTAACAATTCTAAAAGCTGCTAAAGTGCGCTAATAAATTTTTTCATTTTACCCTAAAAAACAAGGTCTTTTTGTTTTTCTCTTCCTGTTTTACTGCCTGCTTCATTATAGATCAACGACGACTTTTATGAAGATCTTACTCCCTCGGATGTTAATGAAATTCTAGACGACCTAATAAGTGGTAAACGACCAACTCCTGGGCCACGGAGCGGAAGATTAGCAGCAGAACCTCATGGAGGGCTTACTTCATTGAAGGAACCTCCAAAAGGTCCCGGTTTTGGTATACAACCTGGACTGTGATTGCGACTGGGATGTTTAAAGCTTAGTTTTTTGTTGTATAAATTATAGCTTTACATAGCCATTACGTTTAATAAAACTGTACTATCCTTTGTTCAGTTTTTGGTGCTTTTTACTGCAGAATAACTTAACATTCGGTATCTTTTTTTCTTTTTCACATCTAAGGAGAAGTGATACTTTATGACGTATAATGCGTTGGTTGCAGATTAAGGTGGATTTTGCAGAACAGCTGAAAACGTTAAGACAGTAGTTAAGAAACATTTGAGGGCAGTTGTTTTCTACAGTTTTGCTGCATTTCGATACGTTAGGTTGAGTGGCACTTATTATACAGTATGGATAAACGCTAACTAGTTCTCTATCAGTAAATATATCAAATTCGGAAGGATACGATGGAAACTATTGAGTAGGATAGGTTGTCACGAGTGGAGAGAGTTTGTACTGGTGATTCTGGGAAGCACTTGGCTGGTTCTTTCATTTTAAGGTATTGTTGCAATCACGCGACGTTATACTGAACAAGGATTATCTAGCAGGTGGTTTCTGTTTGCTGTAATTGGACTGTTTTTGGTCTGAGTACACTTTCATATTTTTCGACTACTGATTGGAGGAGATTTTCTTCTATAATAATAGTGCAGATCGCTTTTTTTTTTTGTTTTTGTTTTTTTTTTGCTGTCAAGCAGTAAGCTTTAATTTATAGAGTTCGGTAATCATCGTGTAGTCAAGCTGGTTTAAAGGACGGGAAAATTTGCTGTAATTTTTGCTCAATACTCACCGTTCCGCCTGTGGAACATTTTAGCGAGAGGAATGCTCAGTGACTTTTCAAAATGAGATAAAATTTCAGTTTTTTGAGTATTGTACGTAGGTTACTTTATTGCTCTGGTTTGTACAGGTAGGGAGAAGCTTCTTGGACAAAATAGTTATTGTGGTTGTCGTGTTTCGCCGGAAGTAAAACAGACTTGGTGTCACCGGTATCATATCCAAGCCAGTTTGGCAAAAATTAACGCATCGATTCCATTCTAAGTTTCTAATCTTTTCTTTAAGAAAAAGTGAGAAAAGTAATATTTATGTTTTTCCCGTCCCTTCCTGTCGCTTTTCAAACTGTTAAATCAAGCAGTAACGGAGGTTACCGTATGTATTATCATATTTATCACAATCATCCATCAAGACAACAATATTTCCACAAAATACTTTTGAGGATCAAACTTATATAGTTTGTGCGCGAGAGAAACTCCATTATAATTGTTTACGTTCTTCAACATTAACATTTGACGAAGTCAGTACACCTTCCTGTGGATGACACGTAGCGAGATGGTGAATTTTTTTAGTCGCTTTACACCTCAGTTACTTCATTCGATCAAACATAGGAAGGAAAGAACTGCTTTTCCTCGTCTATTTTCACACTGTCAGTAAGGCTCGTATTGGTTAACTTATCGGAAAATCGTTATTGTCACAAAAATACTGTTGAACATTGGAGAAAAGTTTTTTGTTGCTTAAAACGACACCTGGAGGCGCCAATTACTATTGTTTCACACTTCTCACTTTTCTAGGGGCCAAAAAAAATCCTGTCCTTTCATCGCGGTCTTAAACTTCTTCTTTCACTACAGCAAAAAAACCATATCATTCTCTTGCGCAATTGTTATGCTTGAAAAAATGTATCGCCTTATCATAAAATATTACAGCCTTTCAGCAAGATTACTCACAAAATTTCAACGGATGCTGTCTTTGCGAATGGAAGGCCTATATGAACTACAAGTATATACGTCTTCAAAAATAGATAAATAAATAACTGAATATATATATATATATATATATATATATATATAT